TGTAAATATCTGCGTATCCAAACAACCCCCCCAAAGGAGAGAAAGCTGCGCAGGGCTGCACCGTTCGGCCTCCCAACCTCCCCCTCCCCAGTGGTGAAAACCCTGCCCACCCATAGGGCAGACTGGGGGGGGGGGGGGGGGGGCGGGGGGGGGGCCCCGGGTTTTGCGGTGGGTTTTCTGTGGGGGGGGGGGGGGGGGCTTTTAATGAGAGGGGAGGAGAGGAAACGAGTTTAAATGGGAAGAAATTCGGTGCTGTGAGGGCCCGGGGGGGGGGGGGATGCCCCCCGGCCGCCGGCGGTGGGTCCGGGGGGCGGTGGGGGCTGGGAGCTGCCTGCTCGTGGGGGGGGGGGGGGGGTATTCCTGCTTATGGGGGGGGTTGGCACGATGTCTTTGACCCCAGGGCCGCGGGTTGGGGTCGGGGGCACGGAGCCGGGATGGAGCATCACCCAGCAGGAGGGTTTTCCTTTCCTCCTTTTGCTCTTCTGCTTCTTTCTGCCTTTCCCTCCCCCCCCCCCCCTCCAATCCTTTCGCTTTATTTCCCAGCCTGATCAAAGCTCTCTTTGTGGCACCGGGAACGTTTCGGCGTTTTCACAGCACTGGGGGCGCACGAAGTCGGGGATCCCCGGATCTCTGCAACCCCCCCGGGGCGGGGGGGAAAGAGGGGGGTGGGTCGGAGCTCCGGGTTTTGCGGGGGGGGGGACGTTGGGGGGCAGCGGCTGCAGCGCGGCTCCGTCGGATCCCTACCGCCCTCTGCCGCCCGCTGCCGCTGCGGGGATTTTCCTCCGAGTGATGAATTCCCCCCCCTCTAAATCTGGCCGAACTTTCCCCCTTCTTCAGCTGAACCCCATTCCTCCCTTTGCCCTCTCATCCTCAAACCGTGTCAGAAGGTCGCTCTCTGCCTTTTTTTTTTTAATTCTTTTCTTTATAGGCTCTCTTAAATCCTGCCGAGGCTGCAACGCCCAGGAGCTGCGCTGCCCTTCAGTGCTGAGCACAGCAACACCGAATCCGGGCCGCTCCAAACCTCCTCCTGCAGCACGGATCACAACACCGGCGCTCCCCCCAAGCTCCCAGCAGATCACAAGGGCTGGTAGCAGCACTGCGGGCTGCTTGGGGAGCCCTGGGTAACGCAGCCACCTCCAGGTGGGGGTCGATTGATTGGGGTCGATTGATTGGGGTCGATTTCCATGCTGCACTTGGGACAGGGAGCTGCAAACACCCCCATCAAAAGGCGCAGACCCCTCCTGCGGGTATCAGTGCCCTCCCCAAGCGGGGACCACCTCGTGCTCCTGCTGCTCATCTGCTGGCAGCCTTCTTGTGGCTGCCGGCCAGGGAAAAGGATGTTTAGAGGATGAGTAACATCCTTCCTGGCAAGGCTTCTGCCCACTCCTGGAAGCACGCTGGGGGCACCGGGAAGATCAGCCCCGTACCCCAAGAGCCTGGGAAGGATGCCAAGAGCGGGAGGCAACCTGGAGCTGAGGGCAGGGCAAACGGACCCAGATGGACCCACTGGCACCGGCACCGGGGGGTGGAGGAGCCACAGGTGCCAGGGGGGAAGGGAGGGAGGATGCAGCGTGGCAGCGGGAGGCACAGGTTGGGGGAGGCAGCCCAGGGCCAGGAGCCAGAGCCTGGTTCAGCGCTGCCAGAAACGGCTGCTTTTGGAATGGAGATGTCTTGGCTGAGCGTGCGGAGCTGCCGCTGGGAACAGGATGGCTCTCAGAGCAGGTCCCTGGCACTGCTCGCGGGCCAACGCTGCTCGGCTTCAGCCTGGGGCACGGTCTGCCCCAGCACTGCATCCCTAAGGCCTGAGTCACTCCTGCAGAGGGCTTTGGATGCCCTGGCCAAGAGGCGGCGCAACGCCCAGGGCTACGGCTCGCCCTTCCCCAAGCCTGAATGCCAAGCGTGGTACCCAGAGCTCCCGTCAGCCATTGGGCTTGGTACAACAGCCAACCTGGAGTGGGGAAACTGAGGCCTGGAAGCTGCTTGAGGCACATAGCCCATCCACTGCTCCATCCTCCCCGGCACCTGGTGCTGGTGTCTCTGGTTCTGAGGTCCAGTGCGTAGACGGTGCCCCATTGGCATCCCCACTCCTTCCTCAGACTGGGGGGAGGCTGCCTACAGTCCCGGCCCCTCACCACATCCAGACGTGGCTGTGGAGCTCCCTCCCATGGCAGGGTACCAGGAGCTTTGGCTGTGTGCTGAGCCAGAGCCTCAGGCAGGGACGCAGTGAGCTCCCCGCGCTCCAGCCCAGCCCTGCCCTCCACGCTGAGCCGCACACTGCTGCATTGTGGCCCAGCTGGTTTTTCCAGAGATGTATCCAAGGAGCGAAATCAGATCTCAGGGGAAGGGAGCAGGCACGTTCCTGGCTGTGCAGAGCTGTCAAGGCAATGCCAGGAGCTGGGACTGAGCACCACGGCCCTTGGCGACTGCTGCCCTCCAAGCTCCCACCCTGAGGCTGATCACAGATCCAGAGCCAAGTGCCCATGCTGGGCTGTGCTGCATTTCCTGACTCCTTTACTTGCAAACTGTAGCCAAGATGCCCTGCCCTCCGGCCCTAGCAGCTCCACAGCATTGTTTCGTACTATCAGATAAGGAAGGAGCAGCACAGAGGGCAGGGACAGGAGAAGGGATGTGGCTGAGGGACCAGGGAGGAAAGTTCTCTGATCAACAGAAGAGCAGCACGCAGAGAGGGAGTTCCCTCCATGCAGGAGGCAGTTTTGGTCAGGGCTTGTCTAGACTGGAGCAACCCACACTGTAAGAGCACCAACAGCGAGCCTGGGGCACATGCAGCGTCTGTTGTGCCCAGGCAGGAGGGACCCAGCTGTGCAACGGGGGACCCTGCTGCTCCTGGGCCCCATCTGCCAGCCCTGCGTACAGCACACAGCCCTGCTGTGCCGGGGCACAGAGTCTGCCCAGCCTTCCCCATGCCACAAGAGCTCTGCAAGACACAGCGGGACAGCCAGGGAGCTGGTACACGCTGTCCCTGCCCCACATCAGACACAGCTGTGAGCCCCATCCCTGCCCGGCTCCAAGCAGAGCAGCCCCATGCTGGAGGCGGGGGCCGTTGTCCACCCCCACCGCTCCCCTTTTTCAGCACGAGGGCTGCAGGCAGCTCCGCGCCTCCCCCAGCTCCGGCACCCGGAGAAGCAGAAGGAGCTGCAGGCACACAACGTCACTTTTTCCACACGATTCCAGCCACCTTCCCTTCCCCCTCACTGAGACACTGGGAAGCGCAGAGGCTCCCCTTGGCTCAAGGCAGCGCTGGGGCTGGAGCTACCGAGCCACAGGTCCCTGCACCAGGAGGAGTCCTGGAACCACCCCCCTTGGAGCACAGCGCCCCGGTGCTCCCTCCAGCCCCGCCATTCCTTGCTCAAAGCCCCAGGGCTCAGCCCCGTGCTCCCCGAGAACTGTGGGCTCTTGCTTTAGTGCCCGTCCCCTCCAGAGCCGCAGCCCTGAGTTCTTCAGCCCCAAGGTCAGGAGCATCCATGGAGCAAGAGAGCAGGCCCGACACAGACATTCTTTCTCGATGATCTAATTTAAAAAACACATTTTTACAAAAACACATCATCATGCAAACGCATGTCGCTTCTCTCCGGGCCCGCAGCTCGCCCGTGCCAGAGGCGGCTGCAGCTCAGAGCCAGGACGGATGCGGCCCATTTCCCACCTTCCCCCAGTGATAAGAGCCCCATGCGCAGCTCCACGTCCCTTTCCCCACCCCCCACCCCTTTACCACAGAAGATTTCTCCCTGCCCCAACCGCCCCATAGAGGACACACCGAAGCCACAGCGGCCAAAGGGTTGGAGCAGCCCCGAGCTGCACCGAACGGCTGTTAAAGTTCATCAGGGAACATGGCCGAGCTCTGGGCTGCTTCAATCCTTTCCAAAGAAACTAAAAGCAGTGCTCGCTCAGCAGGCTGCTTTCGTGTTGTGCTGTGAGGGGTTGTGCTCCTAAGGCGGTAGTGTTTGATAAGGCATGGAGCACAGGGATGGGCCTCAGGATAGGCCCGGGAGTGCAGGGATAGGCCTCAGAGTGTAGGGATAGGCCTCAGAGTGCAGGGTAGGCCTTGGGATAGGCCTCAGGCTAGGCCTCAGGGTGCAGGGATAGGCCTCAGGGTAGGCCTTTGGATAGGCCTTAAGGTATGGGAATAGGCCTTGGGATAGGCCTAGGAGTGCAGGGTAGGCCTCAGGGCATAGGGATAGGCCTCAGGATAGGCCTGGGAGTGCAGGGATAGGCCTCAGGGTGCAGGGATAGGCCTTAAGGTGCAGGAATAGGCTTCAGGGTAGGCCTCACAGTGCTGACGTAGGCCCAAGGCCTCCACCTGCCCTGCTCCCAGGCTCCGCTGACCCCAGCCCAGGCTCAAGGCCTCTCCCTACCCCACAGATCAAAAAGCCGTGGCGCCACCGGGATCGGGGAAGGGCAGGGCTGCGGCGCAGTGCGATGAAGCCATTGGTGGGCACCGGGCTCCATGTTTTCCCCCCCCACCCCTCCACTCCCACAGTCCAGGCCCCATGTGCGGCTCACGGGGCGCCCGCGTAGCTGTAGTGATTGCGGTCCGTGTCGCTGAGGGTTAGTGGCAGGCTGGGTTTGCGCTCCGGGTCCTTCTCATCGCACTGCCGGGGCGGTCGGTGCTTGAAGAAGTCAGACACGTAGCGGACCTGGGAGGACAGAGAGGAAGTGGGGCTCAGGTCTGACTCCGTTGCTCCTCCATTCTGCACCAGGTACCGCGGTTGGGTTGGGGGCATCCATGGACACTCACAATGAGGATGGCAATGAGCGCGCCCTGGAGCAGCCCGGCCAGCACATCGCTCCAATGGTGCTTGTAGTCAGAGACCCGCGTGTAGCCCACGAAGATGGCGAAGGCAAGGAGGAAGAACTGGATGGTGGGACGCAGCAGCCGGGCCCACTTCCCCACCAGCCGGGCTTGCACATAGAGCTACAGAGAGGACAGGGGTGTCACCAAGCACAGGGACAAACACAGTTCTGTCCCAGCATGGTGGGGACAGAACGCCAGGGCTCCACACAGCCCAGCACTCACCGCCAGGAACATCATGCAGTACATCCCAAAGGAGGAGTGCCCGGAGTAGAAGGACAGCCTGCAGGCAAAGGGATGGGCCAGGACATGGCAGGGGACTGCCAACCCCTCACCACCCCTCTGGGGCTGCCCCCAGGGCTCACCTGGATTCGGTGACGTTCCTGCTCTCCCCCCGGCAGACATTTTCCAGCTGCACATAGATGGAGCAGTTCACCTTGGACCAGTCGGGGTTGCAGACTGCCAAGAAGTTGGGCCGGAGGCGGCCGATCATGTATTTGGCCAGGTCGGTCAGGGACTGGCTGATGGCCCCCCCGAAAAGAAAGGTCCCCACCACCTTGTAGAGCGCAGCCAGGTAGTTGTTGTACTCTGACTTGGAGTAGAGGCGTTCTGTGTAGACCAGGTATGCCTCCCCTGAAGAGATCTGCAGGGAGCAAAGGCTGAGAGGTGAGGGTCCCAGAAGCCTCCCTGGGGCCTTCCCCCAGCCCTTCAGGGACCCAGCCTCACGGGCTGTGGGTCTCAGCCCCACACATGGGCACTGCAGGGAGCCCACAAAGTTTCCTTACAATGAGAACGGTGCTGGTGATGGTGACCCCAGCCATGAGGCCATGGGTGATGGTGTCTGCCTTGTAGGGGTAGCGGATGGAGTCATCGTTGCAGTAGAAGCCTCGTTTGTACGGGGAGTTCACCAGCGTCAGGATGACAAAGGGCAGAGCTGCTGCAAAGGAGAGAGACAGAGAGGGCTGGGGCACCATCCCAAGGACTCTATGCAGGCACCAGTGCACACAGTCCCCCTGTCACTGCTCCCCACTGCTGGGGAAGGATCTTGCACCCAGGGCAGCATGTTGGCCCGCAGCTGATAGAGCATTATCAGGGCTCACAACTGCCTGCAGAGCTGAGCGACTGCAGGAGGTGGCTGCTTTTGGGCACCCACGGAACATCCACTGCTCCCCAGCTGCTGCCTGGTGCCAGGACCCACTCCCCACTGCCTGGAGGAGGACAGAGCTCGGGGGAGCAGCACAGGCATCTTGCCAGCCTGTTTCACACCAGAAGGGCCTTCAGGTCCCACACGGTCCAGGTTTGGACAGAGCTGGAGCCCAGAGCCCGTGACCCAGCCTGGCTGGGGCCCCCACCCTGCTCCCCAGTAGCACTGATGCTCAGTTTTACACCCCGTGCACACAGCCCTGACCACGAGCATCTTCCAGCTCCTCCGTGGACGCCATCATCCCACACAAAACATCAGAAGGAGCTCCAGGGGGGGCTCTGACGTGGGGTCGTGCAGCCACTCCAGCCCCTTGGGGACCCCGGCCGGGGTGACCACGGGCATCTTCGAGCACCTCCCTCCAGGGTGACGCTGGGCACAGCGCAGGGACCGGGGCTGCCTACGGTCCACCTTAAGCCCGTGCTCCTTTCCCCGTTCCGCCTTCAGGAAGGCGATTTCCGCCTCCCCATTGTTCCTCCGTCTCCAGGGAAAAAACAAAACACACCTTTGTCCCCGGCAGCCACCCCTGCACCCGGAGCCCCTTCCCCAGGGGGGTCCCGCGCTCCGCTCTCGGCCGAGCAGAAGGGCAGAAAGGAAAAGAGAAAGAAATCACAGCAAAGCACCACCCCGCAGCCTCCGGGCCTCCAAAGGCGGCTCTCTCCGAACAGAAGCGAAAGCAGCCAAAAAGAAAAAATAAAAAAGAGCTGCGAGAAGGCCAGGAACACGGCAGGAACATGGCAGGAACAAGCTGTGACGGCTCCCAGGCTGCGGGAGGAGCCCCGCACGCACGGACGCCTCCGTACAGACTTCAAACCCTTCGTTTGCAGCTCAAATTAGACGCTCTTTTCCTTTATCCTTTCTTTTTTTTTTTTTTTCCTTTTTTTTTTTTTTTCCCTTTCCTCCCTGGGTAATTCCATCTTCCAAAAAAGCTCCCCCTAAAAATAAAAGGGGCAGAAAAGGAAAAGGGCACCGAACAACAACAAAAAAACCAAACAGGAACCTGCCTCTCTCTCTCTCTTTCTCTCTCCCCACCGGTGCTTAGAGCCCAAGAAAGCTCAGGAGGTTGAGGCTGAAATTACGACCCGGGCCTTTATTTTTAGGCCATCCGTCTTAATTAGGTGCTTGAGAGCGGCACTTTT